TATATATATATATAAAGAGGGATAAGATATGCCTCCAATGATTATCAACCGCAGGAATCCGAAGAAATGGATTTTTTCATGGGAGCTTTCTCCTCTCCACTTGGTGGGGATCGGAAACTTGCTATTTACAAATCAACTGCCCTTTCTAATCCATTTTTTAAATTATCGCTCAAATATTAAAATGCTTAGTAAAACTACATTTATAGTTTTCATTTATATCAAATTCTCAATTGTTTTATCGACACAGGTACCTCGATGGTTAATTTGTAATATCAATATTTCAAGCGGTGGTCTGTATATAATTATTCCTTTTTTTTTTCAGGCATTTACTTGTATACCACCCCACCTGATGCATTTATCTATAAACAGGATATACATAGAAATTGAGTGGTCTGTATGTGCCACTGTTTGGTATTATCATCAAATGACTCAATATAATGAACTTCACTTATAATTGTATTTTCTAATTGTTTATAGATATTCTCTGCAGTTAAATTTCTTTTCATCAAAGTCAATGCGGCCTAAACAATTCCAATGGTTTCCTTATCTTTATCCGCTTTTGGAATAAAACCATTTTTATGTAACGTGTCCGAAGTGTTCAAGGAAATTAATTTTTTTCTCTGGAACATTCCTAACATCTTATAATGTTCTAACAATGTCATCATATTTTAATTCTCACTTCACCAATACCAATATTATTGCAACACTTATCATCACATAAATGAACATAACCAGAATTAGATAACATGTATGAAATAAACCACTCACTGTTAGGTGTTATGTGATAAGAGCATCTGAATCAAGAATCTATACATCCATGGACTGAGTTGATGAAACTGAAAGTCTATCACCATCACTGTAATTTGAATTGTCACTTTGCACCATATTTACAGACTTGGATGGTACATCACGTTTCTCATCAATTTGCTTTTTGAGCTTTAAAAATTCTCTCTTCATATGTACTGACTCTTGCACTTGTAGCAATGAATCATCTTTCTACATTTGGACTTTGATTTGGAATTTCATTTTCGAGAACCCTCCTTCTCTTGCTTCCTTCCACGATCGTGATTATCCTTGAAATATAAACTGTCACAATGAGAGTTTTCCCTCGCATTTTGTTTCTACTGGTTGTGAGCCAACAATGTTGCAGTAATCTCATCGACTTTAATTGTTTCTTTCCATATGTAAAAGTAGTCATCAGTTGTTCAAAAGAGGAAGACAATGAACACAACAAAATCTTTGCTTGGTCTTCATCCTCAATATTCACATCAAGTCATGTTAAATTTATGATTATTTGATTGAACACATTCACGTGATAGGTCATATCAGAGCCCTCTTGCATCTTTAACCCATACAACATTTGTTTCAGTTACAGTTTATTTGTTATAGATTTGGATATAAACTGAGTTTTCAATTTCTTCCATACTTCTCCTAGAGATTTTAGATTTTATTACGCGATACATAACATCATCTGTCAAACATAAACGTGTGGTTCCTATCTCTTGTTGCAATTCTTCACAATCTTAATCCTCTATGGTATCTGGTTTCGTTGGCTGCAAAGAATTCAAGATCCCTTGTTGGGCCAATAAATCTTTTACCCTTATTTGTCACAATCCGAAGTTATTGGTTCCATCATACTTCACCACTTCAAATCTTGTTGAGGCGCTCGATTCGATTATGAGCTCGCCAGATTCAACATCCATTTGACCATTCAAATATACATGAAAAGCTTTCAAATTTTGTTTAATGACTTGATGAGAGCTTGATTTGGCTCAGCTTGGATCAATTTTAGTATCACTGGGTCCGTCTCATCAAGCCGGTCAAATGAACTAGAAGTTTGTTGAAATCAAAATTCTAAATGACTTTTAATTGCAGTTTGAATATTCTTTGCTTAAAAAATTATCTTGGTATTCATGTCATGTCTCAAAATTCACGTTGGATGATAAAAAATTGTTAATGGCTAATAGGATATAAATCATTCTTCAAATTTTATTGTTAGCTTAATTTTGAATAACTTAGTATAAGAGATGTAACAAGGAATTTTATATGTTAAACATGTTCATTACTCAAACCATTATAAGCACTTACCTGCTCGGGCTTGTAGAAGGTCAAGCATAAGTGTATAACTGAGCTAAGCCAATTCATTAGCTTGCTCTAGTTTGGCTCGATGAATGACTCGTGAATTTAATTTGACGTATTCACAAGTCAAATTTGTGAAGACACCAACTTGACTTAAGATCTCTTTGGTAATTTTTTATTGCTTCTATATATGACCCATGTTGTATGTATTTGATTTTTCGTAATTGTTTGTTTGGTTATATAACTATAAATAGTTATTGTGCATGACTCGAGTTGAGAGAAAATATTATGTCCAAACACCCATATGTGATGACGACGATGGCGTGAATTTGACCACACCATTAGGTGCATAGTGGCATTATTGAATCCATATCATTCGCTGCATGGATAAATCTTGATTAAAAAAATAAATCTTGGTTAATTTATTTCTTTTAAATATAAGGCTCTGTTTGGCCCAGCTGCGATGTCCTAGGAAACTGCTGCGGGAAAGCTGGATGTTTGTTTGGTGCAGCTATGTGAAAACAGCTTTGGGGCAGCTGTTTCTGGAAATTTCTGAAAAAATGGCCACAATGACTGTCTTATATATGATACATGAGAAGCATAAATTAACTTTACAAGCTAAACATGTAAAAAATAGACTTCTATAATTTTTAGTCAATCCCAAAAGCCATAAATTTGATACTCTTAAGGACAAAGTTCAAATAAAAACAGTCCAGGATTACAGATATTCATCTCACGTCACAGTTAGTATCAAGAGAGCAAAAAAAAGTCTAAAACAATTATAATGACAATTAATAAGATGATTATATTATTTTTAACATTCTGACTGTGTAGCTCCCATGCTAAACTTTCCTCGAGTGATGTTATCCACTCCTGATCGTCGTCGTCAAGGGAATCCGCCGAACTGTATGTCCAACGGAAGAAGCAACACTGATATGTGATGCTCTATGGGCAGCTATAGAACTATCTCCCATAGTTGTACGATCGTTGTGACGTCAGCAGTGAAGTTTGGAGGCCACAGTAACATAGCAAACGTCGGGATGTCCCAGAAATCCTTGAGCTCATATTTTCCTGACTGCGACTGAAGAGAAAAAATCTCCAATATGATAAAAGCAATGAGGAGAATAAATAGTGAACTCACCCTGGTGTGGGCATTACACTAATAAGTTTTATTTTGAGGGTGAAACGATACTCTAAAATGAACCATCAACTAGCAAGTTCTCTTATGTGGATAAAACATTACTCATTTAAACAGAGCATGGAGTTCATGCCTCATTAATTTTTTGCAATCAATAAAAAGATATTTCAACAGCTTTGTAGAAGAAAAGAAACCAAAACAAATGTCAACTTCGCTGAAAACATATGATCTTCACATATACAGATAAAGGAAAATCAAATGATCTTCATGTAATTATTACATATCTGAAAATATATGATCAATCAAATATACAGATGAATCAGATGTTGAGCTTCACCTGTAACAAGAGTGGTAAGTTGCTTTGGAATAGAAGAGGAGACACAACAACATTATATGAAACCCCTCACTCAATAAAAAGTGGTTATATGGCCAATTAAAATGTAAATGTAGAGAAATGGTTTGTATTTTAGAGTTTCCCATTTTCAGGCTAAATCAGATGTTGAGCTTCACCTGTAACAAGAGTGGTAAGTTGCTTTGGAATGAAAGAGGAGACACAGTAGCATTATATGAAACCCCTAACTCAATAAAAAGTGATTATATGGCCAATTAAAAATGTAAATGTAGAGAAATGGTTTGTATTTTAGAGTTTCCCATTTTCAGGCTAAATCAGATGTTGAGCTTCACCTGTAACAAGAGTGGTAAGTTGCTTTGGAATAGAAGAGGAGACACAACAACATTATATGAAACCCCTCACTCAATAAAAAGTGGTTATATGGCCAATTAAAATGTAAATGTAGAGAAATGGTTTGTATTTTAGAGTTTCCCATTTTCAGGCTAAATCAGATGTTGAGCTTCACCTGTAACAAGAGTGGTTCCATGTTTCTAAATGTCTTCGCCTCCTTACAAAGAGACATGATGAGATGATCTAGATATCGTCTCTGCCTACAGCACCTCCGACAATATTTGATACCTATGAGGACAAATCAAAGATATAAAACAACAATAACAAGCCTTTGTCCCACTAAGTGGGGTTGGCTACATGAGTCTTTTTTTCTCAAAGATATAGAACATGCTTTTAAAAATTGATTATTTCATTCTTATTCACACATTATGTGTAAAAATAAAATCATAATGGCTAAGGAGTTCGTGTTTAGAATCAATATTAATTTATAACAACATCCAACCAAATCACATAATCTACTAAAATCAACCATTTTCTCAGACATTATTTATAATTACAGCCAACCAACTTACCAACAATAATGAAATGACATTATAAACTACACAATTTTAACCCAAACAGTTGGTGTACATGTTATTAACTCATGGACTCTTCATAAATCAACAATCAACTAATAACATATTGTGATTTATCATTCACCAGTAATTCAGTACAAACTTAACGGTTGCAGTTCATTAGTTTTAAATAAATAGTATTTTTTATTACTCAAGACAATCAACAAAATAGTTCTAATTAAATGTATTACCTTGTCGCCTTCAAACTACAATGTAAATTATTTGATGTAATGTAACATCAATATTACTTCACTTTAAATTATTACACTACAAACAAGAGAATAAAACAAACCTAAATAAGATTTATTTATCTGAGCTTTATATGCTCTCAAAAACTAATGCAGGGGATGTAAAAAGTTGATTCATGGTTAAAGAACAGGAATTACCTTCCAGTCGCAAAGCTGCCTTATACGAGATGCAATATATAAGAAATTTGAAAAGTTCTTTTTCCTTTTTTTTTTGGGTGTGAGAAGTGGAGTTTATATAAGACTAGCAGAGTTATTTTCGAAGGAAACAACAAGAATGTTATTAATTTCTTTAGTGACAGTATGAAGGCAAAGGTATGGCAGCAACAACTTGACAACGGAAGGGAAATTGCTTTTCTCACATACTTTAAACAAGTTGTATTCTTTTTTACACATGGAGAATGTAACAAGGCAACACATTAAAAAGACATGGAAAACTCTAACTAGGATATCATAATCAGCTAATTAATAAACCACCCTTGCAATTTTCATAAGAAGAGCTAGGAAAAAAAGAAGCTAGAAGAAAAAAAAACAAAAGATCAAGTACTAATCTAATATCTCTATCCTCCAAATCCCGGGTGCGAAAACCAAGTGTCCTCTCAACGTAATCCATCTCATTCTTCAGAGCTTTCCGACCTTTATCACTCAGCAGGTCAGCAAATGCTCCGCCCTGTTCGATTCTCAACAATCTCACAGCAGATACTGCAACCCATCCAAAATATCAAACCAAAAAATAACTCATGATAACCATTCCGAAAGCAAATATGTGATTGAATCAGAAGAACATGCACGTTTTACCTGCTCTGTGAGGCGAAACCTCGGTGTTCACATTATGCATGCTCTTCCTTGAACTTGGAGATCCGGAAACAGAGTTCCTTTCTGCAAACCATGAACAAAGCTGTAACTGTAACGATTGTACGTCAAAGAAGCGAGGGTTTTTTTTTAAGAAATTACAGATCGAAGCTTATGCGCTCAGTCGGTAGAAGAGGATCCCCCCGCCATAGAATCATATGCACGAGAACTAAAAATCCTACTACAACGTGTATGGTTAATGGGAGTTGGACAACAGGATCGCAAGAATCGGGATCGCAAGAATCGGGATCGCAGTCGAATGAAAGGCGGAAGAGGGCACCCAAGGAGCGAAGCGGGGCCGTGGGATCGATCCCGCAGCTCGTATTTAGCTCAGATTTGTGGCGGTCATAAATAAAATGTCGCATCAAACAAGTCTTTTCTACGGTCTTCCCTTGCACCGCACAAAAAGTCGCGCCAAACAAGGTTGTGTGTTATTATAAACTAAATTAAAAATTAATGTTTAAGAAAAACTTCAAATTTGAATCTTCTAATTAAAAAAAAAATCCTAAATTTCTCCGCAGGCTTAGTACTAACTACTAAGATTATTTACTCTTGTTTATATGAACAGCTGTTAAGAAATTAAGAATAGGCGCCATCGCCCCATCCTGTGGCTTAGCCTTGTAGGCTTCCTCCCTTCTCCACCTTGGATTCATGCAAAAAGGCCAAAAGCCCAAGGTTAACATTTAGCGTGCAGATGTCATCACCGCCAGGTTAACAGAAGACCTGTCAGCTATTGTCGCCAGCCGGAGCCGCTAAGCAACGGCTTCTCTGATGAGCGGCCCGTACGCGTCGGAGGAATTTGCAAGTGGACCAGTTGGCTCGTCTATGAATTTTTACTCCCATGATTTGGATTAATCTCAATAAACTTTTAGTCAACCTTAATTTGACTAAAATGGACCAGAAATTGGTCCAATTTTAACCCTAAGAGTTACAATGCTTTATATTAAACTGGTTATAATATAAGTCGGGTTCGTGTTGGCAGGTTTAAGATGAGCCATGTTGCGTCGGACTTCTCGACCCACTTAATATTCAAGCTTAGATAAAGTGGTATAAATATAAAAACTAAAGCTTAAGTGTTAGACATGAAAATTTATAGGAGCTGGGGTATGAATGTAATTTTTTTATTATTTTTGATGGTCACGGGTGCTTATTTTGGGATTGCACATGTTGTTCAGTTAAGCTGACAGTCTTACTTTCGCCCTAAGAGTTGGAATTTTATGGACACATTAATTATCTTAAGTTTTTATCATTTAAGAAAAAAATTTAAATAAGCACATTAATATTTAGATTTATATAAACCCCCTTACAATTACTCGTTATTTTATAACTTAAAATAAACCCTTTAAAGTCAAGTGATATATTTGACGTCATGTTAGTGAACTGAGTGCCATGAATATATATATATATATATATATATA